TGTTTTTCTCGTTGCCATGTTCCCACCAATAACGTAGCTCCATTTTCTGCCTTTAAAATCACACACAACCCACAATTCCTCTATTCGCTCCGACGAAGGGCTAACGCTCGAAACGTCAGCTTTTATAATTGTTACGGTGGCCAATTTACCATTTCAACTTTGTTGATATATTCAAATTATTTCGTTATCCCCACCGACGCAGCCCCGGACAGTTTCTTTAGAAGCTATCAGCCTTTAAAAATGGTTGAGGTTAAGCTCGGTTACACATAAATCTTTTTGAAGATGTTTTATTTGCAGTCCATAAAAAAAAAAAAAGAAAAGATGTCGGAAGAGCACACATTTATAACAGCACGCAGTTACAAATCCCCCATCTCCCTCCTCCCTGAAGTGAAATGCGGTTCACAAATATTTAGTTTCCACAGCAGGCGTAATTAGTTTGCGCTTTTCAGGCGCCCGGAGGCAACCACAAGACGATCGCGAAACACTAGTAATGCATATGGTGCTGAAAGAGCTGAATAACATATACACACGCGCTAGGTTTTGGCGCAGAAACTCGGATTTTGAGCCGTTCGCAAGTTTGATTTTCTGTTTTGTTGCTTCGAGGCGTTGTTTTCCTTCCTTACCGCTTTTCTTTTGCGGAAAAGCTTCAAAAAACTTTGTACACCTCCTAAATATTTTCGAAAATTAATTTTCTCCTTAAAAAGCTTTGGAAATAGGCAAATGCTTTGGACGACGACAAAATACCTTGGTTCTAAATGCCAGCTTCTAATTATTTTTGCAAATTTCGCTAAATTTTAAACCTGGCACTCTTGACGCCGCGTTGTTGACCGCATACCTTTGAGGCTATCAAGCTCTGTTAATCGTGCTCACCTGGTGCTCGCCTCCATTCGACTGATAAATGCAAAACTATTACCTCTGTTCTGCAGGTTACAATTAAACTGTGAATTCCTCTCACAGTAATTATTTGTAATAGTAAACCTTACTTCAATGCCTAAGGCAGTGTGATGTAGTGGCAGCAGTTCCATGGCAGTATGTGTATTTTTCGGCTCTTTTAATATGATGGTTGTAACTTGAAGTTCCAGCCATCGTTGTTGAAGTGTTGAGTAATGTTTGATGTTTGTTTACTGATCGATCGCACGAACGAATGGCTTTTTTTTTTTTCAGAGCTCGTTGGATGTGGAGACCCTGGTGTCCCTGTTCATGGATACAAGGTTGGGGAGAATTATTGGGGAGGAGAAATGGTGACTTATGCCTGTGACGCAGGATACCACTTGGAAGGACCTACGAAAAGACTGTGCTTAGAAAATGGCAACTGGAGCAACGTTGTGCCAACATGTTAGAGCAAACTTTTTTAGTCCTCGGTCGCTCACCCTCAAGCCGACATTCTTGAAATTGATCTTGTCACCTCTCCGTTCTATCATTTTTAACAGGGATCATTACTTTTCATGTCTGCTGTAAAATACTATTCTGTTTCTTTAAAGCCCAAAAAATTGTCCACTTCCTGGTAAGAACTGACCAATAAAATGGTGAATAGGCTACTCAAGGTTCCAAAATAAGGAATAACAGAAGTAAAGTATAATTAATTCTATTCAAAGTTGACATGTTCCGCCCCTTTTTTTTGAATGCTTCCCTTGCCGAAAGTTATTATTTTTGACATACAAAACGACTAGAATGATATTGCTTTTATCAGAAGGATGCTGAATTGCATATATCTATATCTATATCCTCTATCCTTTCTACAGGCCATCGTCTGTGCGAGGAACCTGCTCCAATTGAAAATGGTTACAGAATAGGAAGTACGTTTTGGAAAGGCAGAAACGTCACTTACGAGTGTAACAAAGGATACCAGCTTCGAGGACCACATGTCAGAATTTGTAAGGAGAATGGGAACTGGACGGAAGAAGAACCAACATGTGAAGGTGAGATTGTCCTCTCGCGGTTTTGAATTACGAAAAAGAAATATTATTTTCTGTTTTTCTTTTAGTTCTCATGAGACTGATAGGAGAAGGTAATGGAGTGTGGTATTGAGACAAAATGTTTTTTTTTTTTTTTTAAAGTAATGGAAAACCCCTCAATAAAACTAATTCGAAAAAGACTCCAAGTCATCCAAAAACCCGATAACATTTTGATTTCTACCATTTTTAGGTCCGGAGTTCGAGCATTCTGAAATCCTTCTCAACAAAACTAATTATTGGGAGCTTCTTAAAGGCTGGCTGGGTCCTGTGTCTACACTGCCAGCCAAGTGGAAGCTATGCTACAGAGCAACGGATCATGGATGGGGCTCCGGTACATTTCATTCGCAGTGTAACAATCTCGGACCCACGGTGACTTTCATAAGAGTGGGAGAGTATATGTTTGGAGGATACACTGACCGAAACTGGCGTAAGTAAAGAAATCATGGACTTATAAAGCTCTGATAAAATCATAAATGATCTATTTTGTTGTGAACCGTCTCGGCTATCTCCATTTTTGGTCATCGAGTTTCATGTTTGGGTGCCTACAAAATAAAAGAATCTTTGTGCTGTTAGGAGGGTCTCCACGGGGGGTCACGTCGACGGTTGAGTGTTAAAAATAAGCCCTTTTGACGGTTGACGATTAAATTTTAGGTCATTTGACAGTTGACGGTTAACTTTTAGGAATGTCGTTTATAAAACGAACTAATCGCATGAATTTGGCCGTAATGTTTCATAACGACGTATTTATAAAGAACTATTAATTCATAACACCTTTTATCAATAAATGAGTAACGACGGTTTTACAACACCGGAAGCGTTTCCACACCGGAAGCGTTTCCACACCGGAAGTCAGTTCTGTCGCTAACCAGTTTTACTCGCGACTAGAAGTTAAAGGACTTACGTGAATGTATTTTTGTGATATATCAAAACTTTTATTTACAAACAACAGAACTTGACCCCAATTAAGGCAATCGTTTTGTTCTTAGTTAAGGATATCTGAGACATTTGATGGCCAGCATTGGCTTGCATGCTTCTTTGACGGTTGACGGTAAAGACATCGCGTTTTTGACGGTTGACAGTTAACCCCATTGAGACCCTCTATTAGCAGCCCATAGTCACGTGTTCTTTCAGTCAATGGTCAGGTTTACCATCAAATTTGCAAATATAGCTATTGGAATTTTCTTGAGATTCCACTCGAGCAACTACTCGAGGAGATCTTCAGGTCCTCTATCAATTTCGTATTTGTTTTTCAGACTCAGGCGGCTCGTACACAGACTCAACCCACAGTTTCCTATTTTCATTTAAGAATCGCGATGGACTGCATCCTTTTAAGCTTCACATCAAGTATAGCGAGCATGGCATCTACGGTAACAACGGTTACGGCCCAACATTTGGTGGGGGACACGACATTTACATTGCCGATAATGCAGGTTCAAACACAAACTCTTATACAAACTTGGGTCACAATTATGTTCAGCTTACCGGCTACAGGTACGGTGCTAGCAAGACGAAAAGTCTGTTAGCGGGAAGCTACAATTTCCAGCCTCATGAATTGGAAGTATTTTATCAGACTTACCATTGAACAACTGATTTTACTCAACCGCTTGAACTGATCATGAGCTGGTGTTATTCAAAGCAATTTAACTTATAACTTGTAGCTTAAAGATGAATTAAATGAAAAGCTTCAAATATTTTCTCGTAGAATAATTCTTAAATCAAAGTAAGTAAGCTATTAGATATATGGTCATTCATAGCGCTGTTATTGTATAAAATTGGCATGGTCCGGAAAAACGTTGTGGCTAGGAAAGATGTATAACTTAGGATTTCGAAAGCTAACAGTGTTCTAACTGTTTCAGTGGAAAAATAAGATGACACTTTGATTAGTCTGATGCAATTTACAATGAGGCTTATGATAACAATAAAGTGTTTATTTCTCAATGTCATCAGGGAATCACGTTGATAATGTTTTCAAAGCACCACGTACACGTCGACCAGCACATTAATTTTCATTTGGCAAATAATTTTGAACCATGTTGCAACTCTGGGTCAAATTCGCCTCGTGATGATATTTCTGACTAGCGTTCCAACCTACGTAATGACTGTCTCAATTTAGCTTGTGTTGAAAGAGTTCGGCACGTTAAAGTATCTATACGGCCAACAGGGTTTTTATAATTTTGGTATGTATTTAACATGTAAAAAAGTATTCTTCAATAAAAATTGGATTCTGACGAGTCTTCGCTCTGAAATCGAGCCTTAAACTTCCTGCTTTGGCCACGCCCATTAAAGGTCACTGTGAGTCGGGGGAAAAAAGAGATTGGGTTCAGAATGAGTCGTGACGTCAAATTAGGAACGCGCCAAATCCCGTCAGTGGTTCATTTCACCGTTTTATTCAGTACGGTAAAGAGTTTTCGGCGACATAAATATGCCCGATAGATGTGTTGTAAAAGTACTACGTTTGTCAAGCAAAGTAAAGACACGACGCTCGAGACGCTCCTAGAGTGACTTCACTCATCACCAATCTTCCCTAACGCGGTCAACTTCATTGGGCGTGGCCGAAGCGGGAACTTTAAAGCTCGATTTTAGGATGAAGAGGCGTGAGAATCAAACATTTTTTTTGGAGAATACTTTTTTATAGGTTAAAGAGATAGCAAAACAATAAAAACCCTGTTGGCCGTATAGACACTTTAACAACAGCAGGATGATTCAGCCCCAATCCATTCCAAAAAAAAGCCTAAGCTCCTAAGCTCCTTGTACTGTCTTTTGAGCGCCGGAGCACCCATGATTTGAAACAAGCGCGATGCAATAAAAATACAATTCCATCTACTTAATGCCAGTCATTTCAATATTTCATTTCAAATACCGAGGACCGATATTCTTCCATTACGGTCCTGAGCAAGCTTGGTTAATAAGAGATTTATTACACGACTGAAGTTCAAAGGGACACAAGAGCGGTATCATTCGGGACCATTCGGGACAGCGCCCGGTCCAATACTGTGAGAATATTGACCGGCAATCGAGCATTTTGATTGGTTGACTTTAGTTATTGGCCCTCTGACTGCCCGAGTCGTGTAATAAAGCACTTGTATTCTACTCGAAAGACTTGACACTTCCAGTTTAATTCCTCACCACAGCCAAGCAGGGTTCACATCCCCCATCCCCCGGGCACGAACGACGGTCAAATGCCCGTGAATTGCTAAGGGGGGAGGTATTGAAGCTTCGAATTGATCGGCGCATTACTCGTTCATATTCCTTTATAATCAGTCATTTGTTCGTTCATTCATTCGGGTTTTTGAGCTCCTTCGGTCATGCGTTCGTTCGTCCGGTTCTGCATTAAATAGTTCGCGTGTTCGTGCAATCACTCACTCATTCTCTTTTTCGCTCTTTCATCGAGTTACCTATGTTCTAATTATTAACTAAGAGTTGCTAAAGAGGATATTAATATGACTAATTAACATAATCATGGAATAAGGAATACTAACATTAATGTTTTGCATGGTAGCACCAATAAACACCAGAAATGCTATCGTCGAAGCAACATCCCTTCTTTTTACACTCAGTCAGTGATTCCTCCATAGCCACAGTCTTTAGGATCGCCTAGCTCCATAGTGCAGGCTCCTGTTGGACAAAATAAAACTTACAATTAAAAAAACGTCACTTGGATCCCAGGGACGGCGGAGGGAGTCAGTAGAGCTGATGGACCTTCCACTTTTTCACTTCTTTCGAGAGTTTCAAAAAATTTCCAAGCTAAAATATTTGTGAATATTTAAAGACGGTTTTGACGTATTTTGTCCGCACGTAGTTTTGGCTTGATAATGACGTTTAGCTAAAGTCGAAACGTCGGCTTTAAGCAAATTTTTAATCTTAAAATGATTTTAAGAAATATTTTATCCCAATTTTTTATTGTTTTAACAAATGTTAGTTGATTTCCGGTTGAGAACAAAAGGATCGTATTATGCTCTCAGATGAGAGAGAACAGAACGTGAGAGTAGAACAGTGTGAGAGAGAGGGAGAGAAAGTATGTCGCAATAAAAAAGCAAAGTTTCGGAATTCAGCGGACTCTTAGGTCTTATTGCCGAAATGAATTGCCAGTAACCTGATCCTTGCGTTTGCGCAGAGATTTCTGGGATCCCCACGGGGGAAATATTGCGGCCCGCTAGTAAGAAATGTATGGCGAAAGGCAGTTTCGGTGTTCAAAAAAACCACTTTTGAGAGAAATCAACGCTTTTTCGCCGCAGTTTTATCATAGATGGATTAAGATAATTCTAATACAAGATATTCATGAGGTTTTACTTTCGGTGGGTGATACCAATCAATTGTTTCTCGGATACATTTTGAAACCCTAACAGAGAAACTGATGGCAATCGGAGCCAATCGAATATGAGATAGCACGAAAGGTTGAGATTTGAATTAAAAAACCGATGAGGATAGCAATCGGAGCCAATCGAACGTGAAAGGGACAACCACGATCGTACATGCCATGTACTTTTCAGGTGAAAGGGAACTTTAGTTCCAGGGAAACGAAGGCGTGAGCTAGTTAGCTAGCTATGCTAGAGCTTTCGAACTTCGTGTTCCGGCAGAATGAAAGGGTTTAAAAAAATGCGTCGAATCTCGGGGCCGAAAGAATCTCCAGGCCATGTTTCGAGTCGCTGCTGTCGACAGAATACAAATTGACAAAACAAAGAATTACGAGCCCCGTTTTGGGTAAGAAAAATTTTCTTTGGGATCAAATCAGCTCCATTTGGAGAAAGAGAAGCCAATTTTGGAAATTTCTGAGGATTTCAAAGCCCGCTAAGAGATTACATAGCCCCTGGACTAAGCCGGAAATCCAATCGTGGTCTTGTCCTGCATTAATGGCGTTTCGGAGAAATCTTCCCGCATTTTCAACGAGAAAGGCTTCAAAACCATCCTTTCGCCCATCATATCATCATGCTAATTTTTAATTGAGCCAAATGACCCTACTAAACCTCCTATGAATAGCTGCGACATAGTATACGAAATCCAATGCGACAAGTGTAAACTGAAGTAGACAATTACAATGAATATATGAAGTTCATATATTTTGAACTGCGGTATTAGATGCGTATGATGCACGATCCTCGCAGTAGATGGCGCTTATAATTTATGCAATAGCGAAAGTCAGACCTGAAAAAAATCAGGCCTGTGCGGACCTGATTTTTTTCAGGTCTGATTTTCGCTATTGCATCAATAGCGCTCTCTACTGCGAGGATCGTGCATCATACGTATCTAATACCGCAGTTCAAAATATATGAACTTCATATATTCATTGTATCTGATTTATCATCACGGGTTTATTACGAATCAACTTAACGGCCTGCTCCCAGTTGGCTTGTTAACTCAATTGGTAGAGCGCTGCACTAGTATAGCAGAGGTCAGTGGTTCGAATCCCGTACAGGCCTGATTTTTTTCAGGTCTGATTTTCGCTATTGCATCAATAGCGCTCTCTACTGCGAGGATCGTGCATCATACGTGAAGTAGACAATACGGGTAAAAACGATAGAGAGCAGGAAACCCATTTAAATAATACCGGTACCGGCCTTTAAATGAACCCAGGCGTAACCTCGACTGCCTTTGTAAAACAAATAATCACTGGTGTCCCAAGTTCACGTCTTGAGGAAAAGCGAAAGATTATTCCGTGAAGGCGAGAAGTCCTGTAACACTAAAAGCAGTAATGGCAAAGCCGGCAGGCACAAAAAGGCAGAAATGGCCAGAAACCACAAATTACACGCAAGAAGTGAGTAAGTCTTATCAATCTGACATGTAAAATGTCCATATTTTGGAAAATTTATTCGTTCCCCATACTATTCCTTATGATATTATGTTACCGGCCGCGGAAGGAGAGGTCGAAATCATTTACATTGAAAGCAAACATACAAGCAATATGGCGGACCAAAACGAACCTCGTGCGTTTAATTATTCTTTTTGCCATGGCAACTCGTGACAAATACGTTTACATGGGAAGGGGAGGGGTGGTGTCCGTTTTCTCAACTTGTCCTTAACAATTACCGCATTCAAATTCTCATTCAACGGTTCCTCGCGTCACTGTGTTACACGCACAACGCATGACGCTTTTGAAGCGTGGACGTCTTGTATTCTGCAGCATACACCTTTATTGATATCTAACGGGCTATACCAGCAACTAAGCTACACGTTACATCTGGTTACAAGCTCGGCTTTTATAGGTACGGTTAAGACTCTAGAACGTTCCGTAACATTACAACAGATTCTATTTATATATTAATTCAGGGATGACTCAGCATGACACAGCTACTTCTAGAACATTATTGAACCATGCAGTTTTGTTGTGCAACTTCGGAATCAATGGCTCATTATTGAAATGGTGTGAAAGCTATTTAACCAATGGCCGACAGAGAGTAGTGCTGGATGGTATATCCTCTAACTGGTCCCATGTGACAGAGCTGGATAACGTATACGCATGCGCTAGATTTTGCCGCGGAAACACGGATTTTGAGTCGTTCGCATGGTTGATTTCCTATTCTGTTGCTTCGAGGCGTCGTTTTCCTTGCCGCTTTTCTTTTACAGAACAACCTCCAAAAACTTGGTACACCCCCTAAAAATTTTAAAAAATTAATTTTCTCCTTAAAACCTTCCGAAATAGGAAAGCGCCTTTGGCGAAAACAGATTTCCTCGGTTTTAAAAGTCACCCTTATTATTTTCCGCTAATTTCGCTAAATTTTAGACCTAGGACTTTTGAGCCCGCGTTGTTGACCGCATACCCTCTGACGTAGCATTTTCATTATTCTGCTCTGTCGTCCCATGTCTCATCTGGAGTCCCTCAGTATTAGTTTTGAAACGCTATTTATTTCCTTTGTGCCTTAGATTATTGCTTAAACACCGATTGTTTACGCTTAGTTAACGTTTATCTACGTCACGGTTTATTTTAGTCGATTACTGTAATTGGTGT